ATTTAATGCTTTCGATTTTATGTTAAGAATAGTAACCAATTCCACATTTTAAGGGCAACATTTAATGTTACCCGTTTTTAAGTAAAAAATAAATAAAAAAGTTTTCATAAATGGCATGTAATTAATGCTATGAGAGTTTGATCAAGATTTGACTTACTGTTACTGTAAAAGGTTATACTTATTATTATTATTATTATTATTATTATTATTATTATTATATAGACTAGTGCGTGGCCCGTGCGATGCACGGAAACATAATATTACGATTGTATTATAAATTAAATATATAACTAACATTAATCATAATTTATCCATTATTTTTAAATTAAATCGGGTTGCACACAGTCCGACCGGATGGATCAGGAACCAGTTTATAACCAGTCTAGTTCGCTTGAATAAAATATTTGCTCTGGAATCTGTCAACACCAGTCGGTTGAACTGGTAGGATCAATACGATTTTCTAAATAAATTTTGTTGTATTTAAAATTATTTTAAATAAAATTACATATTTAAATAAAATAGAGATTTATATATTATTTATCAATTAGTTTAAACATTTGAATTTATAAATTGTTTAGATATCTAAGTAACACATTTTATTTAAATTTATTACAAAAGTACTATATATATATATATATATATATATAAATGTTTATAAATTAAAATCTGAACAAACCACAAATGATTTAATAAAATAGCTTGATCGTTTCGATGACGGTCCAGTTCTGAAAATTTTATATTTACTGTACATTAATAAAAATTATAATAAAATATTATTTAATTCACATAAATATTAACAAAATGATATATAAATATTCATAAATCATTAAACATGTTGTCATAAAAGTATTGTTAATACGATTATTTGAAGTTTGGACTACATCACATTCACGTAGTAACATATTTTCAATATAAAACTTATATTTAGGTTCAATAATCGATTTGATGTGGTCGAACTGATACATAACTTAGTCACCTGGGACCAACCAAGTTGTGTCAAATTTTTTGACTATTTTAATTATCACCGGAAAGTAATTCAATCAACCTGGGCAGTACTCTAATTCAATCACCCGATTGATCCGAAAAAATTTTCTTATTTTCTTTAAATATATTTAATTTTATGAAATAAAAATATTTTATGACATATAATAAATGTCTACACCAAATGATAGTATATTAAGATTATATAATATATATCTTAAGATGAATTAATTATTTTTACTTTATGCATATTAATTAAAAATAGACATAGTAATTTTACAAAAATTTAGATTAATTGATTGATTATGCAATTTAAATAATTTTTTTTGCGTTCAATATGTTTTTTTAACGGCACAAATATAAAACCGAGATTCTAAAACTTTTGTTATATTTTGAATTGAGATTTTATAAATATAGAGACCAAGATTTTAATGTTGTTCGTTGTTTCTAAGAAAAAAAATAAAAATAAAAACATACACATTTAATAAATCTTAACCGGATTTTTTAAATAATAAAATAAACTAAAACCCGAAATTTAAGGTAACATTTAATGTTGTATGATTTTTAAAGAAAAAAAAATAAGAAAAGTAATAAAACTTACTATATATAGGCTGCATTAAATTCTGACTTATTTTTTTGTTACTATTTTTGGTAAATGTTAATTCTTATTATATATATATAGATTATTATTATTATTATTATTATTATTATTATTATTATTATTATTATATAGATTATTATTATTATTATTATTATTATTATTATTATTATTATTATTATTATTATTATATAGATTATTTTTCTCTCCTGGTATATCATATTAGTTTAATTCTTAATTATTTCTATGTGCTTCTTTCCATCGATATGTATCTAAACAAAAATTCTATGGACCCATTTGATGGTTTTTTTTATGGAGACATCCACCATATAATGTATTGACACCTGTCCAAATTGTATTTATTGTAGGACACGTGTCAATATATTATTAGTAAATAAGTGTAGATGACTCCATAAGTCGAGCCATTCGATGACTCCAAAGCAAAACTGTGTATCTAAAAAACACTTTTAAATAAATTTGATTAAAACAAAAAATAGAACGAAAAATCTAAATGAATATGAGCTTGTAGTTCTTTCTATCCGAATATGTATCTAAAAAAACCTCTCAAATAAAATTGATTAATAACCAAAAAAGAACAAAAAATCTAAATGAATATGATGTGAGAGATAAAGTTTGACAAAATGAATAAAACTCACTGATATTTAGTTAGCTATAAATTATATACCCAACAATAACTTGGAGCAAACGGTGCAATATTTTACAATGAGAAATTTAATTACTAAGGGTGTGGTTTGTAAGATTGAGAGAATCGGTAAAAAACAGTGTGATCCCATGCAGGTAAAGCGCATCATAAGAGGGTGGTCTAGGTGTACCATAGTGAAGTTTCATCCCACAATCAATTGGTGATGGGAGAAGTAGTTCACTGGGCATATAATCTAGGACCAATTTCTCTATAGAATCAATGTGAGACGACTAACAAATGATGTTCCAACACGCCTCATCACTTGTGAGTTCTCAATGAACCCAAGCCAGAGCAGACCGGGTAGAGATAAAGACCCATGCCAAAGTTGGTCGGAGTAGGGATAGAGACCCGGCTGGCAGGGCTTGGCTTGGCTCAAATACCATGTAAGATTTAGAGAATCGGGGAAAGATAGTGCGGTCACACGCAGGTGAAGCGCATTTTAAGAGGATGGGTCTAGGTGCACCATAATGAAGTTCCATCCAAAACCAATTGATAATAACGGGAGGAGTAGCCCATTAGGCATATATGCTAGACCCAATTATCCTATAAAATCAATGTGAGACAACTCATAATTGATACTGTAACATAATTGCATATAAATTAAATCAAAACAAATCCAATCAAAACTTAAATTTAACTCTTTTAAAGCAACAACATTATCATTAATATTATCAATATAATTAAATAATACCAGTTAGTCTTACATATCACATCAACTTTAAGGAATAAGCTAAATTTGATTCAAGAGCTCCGAATATAATTAAATAATATCAGTCAGTCTTACATATAACATCAACTTTAATTCATATTCGTCCAGTCACATAATTTTAACTAACTATCATTTCGCATCATCTCTCTCATACTTTTAAATCAACTTAACTTTAGTTAATTTATTTTAAATATTATTTTAATTTTAATTTAAATTCTCACTAACAATTACCTATACCACTTTATTCAAAATTAATTATTATTAACAAAAAATATTAATTAAAAACTAATCAAATTCATATCCAATCACATTCTAAATCACATTCTAACTCAGGCCTAATTGCTATAACTGCCCCCATAGACCAAAAAAAATTTATATAAAAAGTCAAAGATTCAAAAATATACGGCCGCATAGCTTACTCATAATTTCTCCTCATTCAACGAATATCTGTTAAGTCATTTATTCATATTGTGCTAAATTAATTTACTCTATCAAGTTGTTGACTTCTGACTATAACTTATTTCAGCATGCATATGATCGGTCTCACTTGTCTGATCCAATACCACATATATTCAAACAGGCCGATTTTTTTAGATCAATAATTTGAAAAACTTGCTTCGATCATGCAATATATAATTAAAGATAATACCGCTATCATATAGGTTTAGCTTTTAGAAAATGTACCTTTTTAAAATATTATATTTTAAAAATTAATATAAATAAAAATATCTACGTTTCATTCTCTAAATATTCACGTTTTTCAAAAAGTGTTACTATTCGATTCTACTACTGTTAGATTTACTGCATACCCTATTTATTCAATACTCTACTAGCTATCGTACTCGTTTTCCTTATATAATTAACTAAAATACTCTAATCCCCCTTATATATTAATTAAGAACATGCTGAGTCTATGTGGTAAGCTCACATGCTTCGGGATCTTATGTGGCAAAATAAATACATGCTTCGTTATTAGGCTTGGATAAATTTAGTTTACTTTTAATCCAAATATATTTAGGTTCGGATTATCTATAATATGTTGATTATTTATGGTAAGGGTGGGCGCCGGTCGGGACGGTCCTGGATTTGACTTGTCCGGATACCCATCCCACTTTTATGAACCCGTCCATGAACGGTGCGGGATGAGGCACCGTCGGCACCCATGTAATACATGGGTGTTGTACTAGTACAGAGTTTATTTGGAAACAGTTCTCTATATTAATAGCTTGTTTCAAAATACTTCTAAAATAGACTTTTAGATGCAAAGTGCATTGGAATAAATATTCATGTTTGATACTAAAGTAAGAATTGATTTGTGGATAAGTTGTTTGATGCTATTTTGTTAAAAAAAAAAGTATGGTTGGTGCTAAATTAAGAATAAATATAGGGATATCTGTGTTGCTGTGTTTTTATCTGTGTTTCTCTTCGGTTCTTTGTTTTTTCTTTTTTTTGTTGTTATTATCTATTTGGGATTTTAAATTCTGCTGTTGGGAGCTAGTTATTATCGTGAATGCGTTGTGATGTTTAGGTTCCCCTGGGGGTGTCCTTTCACTAGATTTGACTTTTGGCAGAGTTCTAGATGTAATTATGTAGATTTTTTCCAAAATCAATGTTGAATAAGTGTTGCTTAAATGGATTTTATAAAATCGTACTACATCATTGTAAATATCATGTAGTGATAGATGTTTGTTGAAGTTCCGTTTCCACAAATTCTAAAATATCTTAAATGGACATTGAATCCCATACTTACTTAGACAGACTAGACTATACAAATTCAGATACAACTATTTCAACGCGTTCCATTTTGCCGTTATGGTCTTACTTCACACATTGTTCACTTTTGTCACGTCCGGTGAATTTACGGCAAATAAAAAATTTATGCATATAGCGACAAGCCAACGACTCTCTCACTTTCTCCTCTTGCCTTAACTTCTTACTATATATATTTTATTCAAGCATCTTTAAATTAGAAAAACTCATTCCCTTTTACCTGTCCCAAAGACCAAAAATCATTCACACACAATTAAGTCCAATGCACAACTCCTTATAACCAAGTTTTCTCTCAACATTTTCAGCCAAATCGATTGTAGTGTGAGGCGTAATATATCAATATCATGGGCAAGGAACAACTCCAAGTCCTTAACGCGCTCGACGTGGCCAAGACCCAATGGTACCACTTCACGGCCATCGTCATAGCCGGCATGGGCTTCTTCACCGATGCCTACGACCTCTTCTGCATCTCTCTCGTCACTAAGCTCCTCGGCCGTCTCTACTACACACACCCGGGCTCCCCAAAGCCCGGAACACTTCCCCCAAACGTCCAGTCAGCAGTCAATGGGGTCGCCTTCTGTGGGACCCTCGCCGGCCAGCTGTTCTTCGGGTGGCTCGGGGATCGGCTCGGACGCAAGCGAGTCTACGGCATGACCCTCATGCTCATGGTCCTCGCGTCCGTGGCATCGGGCCTCTCGTTCGGGGACAAGCCCAAGTCCGTCATGGCCACGCTATGCTTCTTTCGGTTCTGGCTCGGGTTCGGCATCGGCGGCGACTACCCACTCTCCGCCACCATCATGTCCGAGTACGCCAACAAGAAGACACGTGGCGCTTTCATAGCCGCCGTCTTCGCCATGCAGGCAAGTGGTCTCCCTCGACCACCCCTCATTTTTATTTTATTTTATTAATAATATCTGATCCTAAATAAAATTTCTGGATCTACTGATGATGCAGGGGTTCGGCATCCTGACCGGCGGCATGGTCGCCATAATCGTGTCCGCCGCTTTCCGGGCGGCATACCCATCCCCCGACTACCAAACCGACCCGACCCGCTCAACCGTGCCCGAGTCTGACTACGCGTGGCGCCTAATCCTCATGTTCGGCGCAATCCCTGCGTCCCTCACATACTACTGGCGCATGAAAATGCCCGAAACCGCTCGCTACACCGCCCTTGTCGCCAAGAACGCCAAGCGCGCGGCCGCCGACATGTCCAAGGTCCTCCAAGTCGACCTCGAGCCCGAGCAAGAAAAGCTCGACAAAATCTCCACTGACAAAACCAACGAGTTCGGCCTCTTCTCCCGAGCCTTCCTCCGCAGACACGGCCTCCACCTACTCGGCACCACGTCCACATGGTTCCTCCTCGACATCGCGTTCTACAGCCAAAACCTCTTCCAAAAGGACATATTCAGCGCCATCGGGTGGATCCCGCCAGCAAGGACCATGAACGCGCTCGAGGAGGTTTACAGAATCGCGCGCGCACAGACTCTGATAGCCCTCTGCAGCACGGTGCCCGGCTACTGGTTCACGGTCTTCTTCATCGACAGAATCGGGCGGTTCGCGATCCAGCTCATGGGGTTCGGTTTCATGACGGTTTTCATGTTCGCGCTCGCCTTTCCGTACAACCACTGGACTCACCCTGACAATCGGATCGGGTTCGTGGTGATGTACTCGCTCACGTTCTTCTTCGCGAATTTCGGGCCGAACGCGACGACTTTCGTGGTCCCGGCGGAGATATTTCCGGCGAGGCTGAGGTCGACGTGTCACGGGATATCGGCGGCGGCAGGGAAAGCAGGGGCGATTGTAGGGGCTTTCGGGTTTCTGTACGCAGCACAGCCCAAGGACCCGAGCAAGAGGGATGCGGGTTACCCGGCGGGAATTGGGGTGAAGAACTCGTTGATTGTGCTCGGGTGCATAAATGCGCTGGGGATGTTTTTCACGTTGTTGGTGCCGGAGTCGAAGGGGAGGTCGCTGGAGGAGATGTCGGGGGAGAATGAAGAGGAGGGGAGTGAGATGGGGACGCTGCCCGGGGAGAATAGGACGGTGCCGGTTTGAATTGTTATATCGCGTGTCCGGGTATGGATGTATGTGTATTTGGGGTGTGTAGACGTTTAGACGAGCGCGCGCCCATGTTATGATGTTTTGATGACTTTGAATTTATATGAGAAACCTTGTGTTGGGAGTTGGGACAGTGTTCTCTGTTTTGCTCTTGATGATTCTTGGTGGGTGTCTGAGAATCTGTAGCGTTAGTTTGACTGTAAAATTATGGTAACTAAGAGATCCAATGTTGTGTCTTTCAAAGACAGTAATTTTTTTCTGACATGATATTAATCCACATAGAAAATAAAAGGCTAAAAATTTCACTCTCTGGTATCTCTAATGCATCTATTTTATATAGGTGCATCAATCTAAATGCTAGCTTGGTTGATATGTCTTTGGATGCAAGGTCTTGAAATTCAGTTCAGGATTTTGTTTTTGACAACTTTTCTTTGTCAAAACTTTATTTTCTTAGTGGGCTGACTTAATGGGCCTTATATGGTTTCCTACCATTGGACCTCTTGCCAAATATGGACTAAGGTCCTTGTATATAATTTGAGAATGTTTAAGCTTCTAAAATTTTATTTGGCATAAGAAAATTACCCCATGCGTTACCCAAAACATAAATATTGTATATATACTAACATAACTCGTCGCGGCCCGTGCGATGAACGGGACAACATATTTAAAGTGGAATTTTTAAAATTCAAAAGATATTAAATTGTAAGAGATATGTACATATAACAACAATACACAGCTCGCTAACAAAATGAAAAAGTTATATTACATATTATTGAAAATCTCCTTATATACCACATTTTTTGTTTGATTTGTTGGAGAGCAATCGTCACCATAATATTTCCATATTGTTTCGGTTGGTGACACGAGATACAACAACGTAAAACTCATCATGATGCGGTCAGTTGAACTTTTCCTTTTGTGTTTTCGAACATAATAATAATAATTAGTAGATGATAAATAATCCGACATAAATATTTGCATACATACCATATTTTCTCAAATTTTAACTTACTTTTTTTTAAAAATAATTATTAAGATAGTTACATGTAATATTTTCTCAAATTTTAACTTACTTTTTTTTAAAAATAATTATTAAGATAGTTACATGTAATTGGTAACAGATGTGAACGTTTGAAAGGAGATCCAAAATATCTTCACCCACACAACGTCTTGGTTCAGTGAAGGAATACGACATAAGGCTCTAAGGTTATGAAGCTCATTTCGGTCTCATCAATCGAGTAGCTTCTCTGAGTTTTTGAATTTTAAATGATACGACTTATACATATTCTAGATTATGCTGCACATAGGATTTAAGTTGTGTTTGAATGAATACTTAGCTTCTGGCATATATTATCGATCCAACACGTTTTTGTTTAATCCATTGTTACGAATCAAGTTAGTTATTGGGAGCGAATCACTAGACGTTTCGGCGAGAGCCTCAGTTTTTGAAACGAACTGTAATACGTTTAACGTTGACCATAGGACTTTATAAGATTATTCTCAAAACCATAGACCTTCTTCTATTTTTCGTTTATATATTATTATAATTTAATTATTCTCTCAGTTAAAACTAATTTTTAGCTATTTTTATCCTAATCGAGTATAACGTTTAAGGCTATTTTCTTCTTTTGTGTGACATCAAAATATCGATCTGAGGCTGCGACGGGCGTCGCGCTCGCGCCGTGGGACTTGGAACTCATGTGGCCTCTGTTGTGAAGCGACGCCCGTTGTCCTTGCGCACTTGTGCCCGATTGTCCTGCCTCCTTAATATGAGCTCGACGAGCTCGATTATAAGCATTCGTGAGCATCTGTCCTTCGTCCACATCACCAACCCCCGACACTATTTTGCTAGTTGATTTACTTCATAATTCGAGATAATGTGGTTCAACTGGAAATTTTGATGCGTTCACTACATTTTGTTAATTGTTCATTTAAATTTACATCTAATTAAAAAATGGAGGATTGCCACTTAAAATAAAACCCCTCGAAAAGAACCTTCTCGGCCTTTTTATATTTTTATAAAGTATTTAAGCCTTAATATAGATTAAAGAGAATAGTACGGGGTCTTTTGTTCAATAACATTGCCATACTAAAAATGCTTTTTATTTAGTGGTGGCTTATACCATCTCCACTATATACTCAAGTGACGATAAAGAACAAAAAGGTATACATCTGTACTTCACCTTAAATTCGGTGGGCACTAACTTATAATTCCCCAAAAAATATTCTAATTTGAGGTTGTATTTTAAATTGTTCATATGTTCGAATCGTCATGATTCGCAACAAAATGTATGGAACACGCTTTATAAGTTGTACTATTGGGTACAACCTCACTACATCAGAATGGATATCCAAAGAATGAAACCAACAAGTGGTGGGGCAAAACTATAAAGATGACATTGACATGAGCTTAAAAAGTTCGCATTCTTGATGAAGAATTTTAAGTCATTTTTAAAATTATCAAGAATCTTAATCCTATTTATATAATAATAATTTTTTTAAAAAGTTTTTTAGAATAGTAAATGCATGTCATCACTTCGTCCACGCTCCTTAGACTAGGAATCAAAATTTTATATAAAAATCTTCAATAAGTAAGATGGCTTATATAGTTGTTAACTTGCTAGTCCTAACGATTTGGACTAATAACGTTCCAGGCTGAAAAAGCATTGATTTAGAAGGACAAGCAATATATAGACCTAACCATAACCCAAAACGCCACTTCAGGCTAAGCGGAAATAAATTATTTATCAAAATTTTAAAGTTACAAATTTATATAAAAAAATTGAACTTATATATAATATACATACATGGCATTTAATTTTAAGTATATTCACATATTTTTAGTTAAATTTCATTCATAAAATAATAAAACTAAAATTGCATAAAATAATATTGCCGTATATTAAATGTAATTAATTATATACCAAAAAGAAGAGTAATTAAATTTTTGTAAATAATAATGAAATTTAATATAACAGTAAATTTTAGAAAAAATTAAGTAGTTGAATATTACATAATAAATAAAAAACAGTTAAACTATTTTCTAGATCTGGGAAACTATTTTCTCTTAACAAGAAATAAGTATAGGAATTAATTTTTTTTTTTTTAATAGTAATAAAAAGGGGATAGTCATAATAGGCCTGGGTAAAGTGGTCCAATAGAAGTAAAAAGCCATGATTTATGTTTGCCAAGAAATAGAGAGTCTAAACCTGTTTTTTTTTTAGATAAACAGTCGACCAATTAAGATTTGACCCATCTAATATTGCACTTTCTTCTATCAGTTCTAAAATTTATGAAACGTCTATTTCTTTAACTACACATTCCAGGGAAAAGCTGAAAAAAAGATAGTAGAAGGTGAAGGAAAATAGGCAAATGGGTGACACTTTGTAATCATGCCACCACATTTTCTCAGCTCTGCTTTCTGCATAATATTTTGTACAAAACCGTTGAGCAGAATACTACTACACTTTGCCACTAGTTATCTACATAGTTACACATACAAACAAGGGTAGCCTACACAACATCATATATGCACTGTCTTTTGTTCTCAAAAGACTCCGAACCTCTTATCAACCGAGTCAGTCCATTGCTCTGGCCTCTTCATCACCCGTCATCCATGGATGTCCTGATTTAAATTTATTATAAAGAAATTTCAATTTCATATTACAACACAATCAGTGGCATGATGTGAAGAATCAAGGTTTCCTACAACAAATTCTCCTAAATCATCATATGAAGAGAGAAATCAACATCAACAACGCAAAACAAAGAGAAAACGCAGAAAGAAAGAAAGAAGGAAAAACGCATATCCCGTTTCACCTTGTGTTTTAGCACATCACGTAAATGCCACGTGTACCACAATGACATCATCATATACAGATGGCATTCACATTCACCTAAGTTTATGAATTTACAAGAGTAAATGAGATTTGTCATCCATAATAAACAAACAAACAAACATTCATAAAAATAATACGAATAATTCCAAGCGCGTATAAATAAGCAAAATGTGAGCTTACTCAAAACTTGGTGGGCCGAGAACCTCCTCCACACATCCTTGCAGAGCATCCTCCTCAGCAAGTCCTTAGCCTCCGTTGAGACCAACCCAAAAACAGCCCTTGGAAATCTCAAATTTGCCCTTAGCACGGCCTCAAAAATATCCCTAGCCGACTCTCCATAGAAAGGTGGGATCCCAGATAGCATTATGTACAAAATCACGCCTGCACTCCACACATCAACCTTCTCACCATATTCCATTCCGGCCACCACCTCCGGAGCCACGTAGTAAGGTGTCCCCACAATGCCAGACATGAAATTGCTGTTGGCAAAGCACTCGGCTGAACCAAAGTCGGCGAGTTTGAGCTCGTTGTAGGAGTTGAAGAGGATGTTGTCAGGCTTTATGTCTCGATGGGCCACTCCTCGGTCGTGGATGTGGGCCACTGCCTCCATTAGTGGTACCTGTAGAAATGGAAATAAATTTAAATTATAAAAAGGGAAGTAACATGAAGAATTGGTTTTATATTTGGTGCCATCTTTGCAGTTACAACTTGTATGCAACTATGGAACTCTTACTATGAGATGAGTTTATAATTTGCCAGTGGGCCAGGTGAAAATGGCACAAAGAAGAATGATGCAAGAGTCATTTTCTTCGNAGTTGAACGGCATAGTTAAGGACTTAAGGTGAAAAGAAATTTCCAGAAGCAACATTGGCCGATTATTTTTTTTTAAAAAAAAAAAAGTTGCTTAATTCTTCATCTAGCTGAGAATTTCCCTTATCAATGGTGTACTCATATAAGATTCCAGTAGAATCGCCTGAAGAAATTTATTTGGACAAAAAACATAGAAACTACAAATTAAGAAATAAAACGACAAAGGTCTCTGTCTTCCTTCAGTATTCACACATTTTCATTAAAACAATCAATTAGAAGGAAATGCAAAGGTCTATCAGGAACAAAATTACTTTTGTTAAACAAGAATATTTACACAATTGAAAAGAAAAAAAAAAAGTTAAAAGAGACACAATTTCACATTTGGAAAAACAAACACCCACACTTTCATAGAAGCGTTTTTACCCAACCAGTTGGCCATAAATTGTCCTTTTTTTCACTTTCCTCTCTCCACACACCGAAATCCAGTAAAATTGATTTTGCTCACCAAAAATCTTTGCCGTAACCTTCCTTTCAACCAATAAATCTAAATAAAATCAACAATCCAATTAAGTTCGGTAACAAAAAGATAAACACAAGACCTCACCATCACTCGGCGGGCCTCCAATTCAGAGAACACGGGCCGGGCCGTAATCCGCTGGAACAGATCTCCGGCGTCGCAAAACTCCACCACGATATGCAGGAACTCGTCGTCCTCGTAAACATCGAAGATCCCGAGCACATTCCGGTGGCCGGAGGCGAGCTGCATGAGCTTGGCCTCGTTTTGGAGGCAAAGGCTGTCGACGGCATCATCCTGGATGAGGCGCTTCTGGATGGACTTCACGGCAAAGCACTGGCCGGTGGCGGCGGAGTAGCACCTCGACACGACGCCGTATCTGCCCCGGCCGATCTCCTCACACACTCGGTACTCTCTCTCTAGAGCTGCACTCATCACTCTTGTTTTGCCTTTTCGTTTCTCTCACTTAATTTCTCACTCCAGAAAGGATAGCGCAGTACGTACGGTGGGTGGGGGTGAGGTACGTTTATAGAGAGAGAGAGAATGGTAGTTGAAATTTTTGGGAAGGAATATTCGGGTAAATCGAGAGGAGCCAATCACATGCCAATTCGTGTTCACGGCGTTGACGGAGAATTGACGGAGTTTATCTTCAGGAAATTTTTGTTGCCCATTTTTCTTCTGCTGTTACTAATATAGCGGATTGCGGATTGGATTGTATTGACTTTTTCTAAAAAATAATTGTTTCTTAAATAGCAAATTGTATTACAATTTTAAAAATTTTATGTTGACTTGTTATTTTGCAAATCATTTCTTATTCTTAAATCACTCATATATTGNNNCTCAAAAAATTAATAAAATAATTTTTTTTTTCCAATCAAGCTAAATAACGCCGGCCCAAATCAGCTAACATCCAAATAAGACATTAGTTTTTCCTCACTTATGAAAGAGTTACAATAAATATAGCTTATATAATTAGTATGATAAAATAACTAATAATAGAATGTTAATTTTCTTAGTCATTTCTATTTTGAACCTGAATTTTTATATTTTTTATTCATTATCTTTTCATGAATACTGGTATATATGCCACTCGGGTTATAAATTAAGTTATAAAATATGGTCAGATATAACTATATAAGTTGGATTGCTTTGTCCCACTTCATGTCATTATATTGTTTGAGACGTATTAAAATTTCCACGTGGTCCATAAAAGCACATGACACTTCCCAGTCTTCCATATGAGGAGGCAAAACGTGGTCCCTAAATTTATTTTGTTATAAAAGCCAAACTAAGTACCGTTTGGTTGCGGTCAATGGACGAGAAAAATATTTGGTTCATAGAAAATGATCGAGAACATAGAAAATAGAATAAATGATTATTCACAGACAATGCTAAAAATAATAAATAAATGTTTTTTCCTAGTTTATCTTATTTGTGGATTTTTGTTTTCTAATATTTTTTTTAATACTTTTATGAAGTAATAAGACATCATATATATCACTGAATCTTTTATGATACAATTTAATGCGTGTGACAATCTAATTTTAACATTTAGGTAAATATTGTTTTTTTTTTTTAGACCTTTAATTTATGGAACTTTCGAATGGTATCTTTTATATATAGAGAGAGACGTACCTATATAGTAGTACCCAACATTTCTTCTTGATAACTTATAACATCACCTTTTTACATATAAGGATGTGGAGGTATCTGCAGCCACCTCCATTACAACTTGAAAAATGTGAGGTTCCAGTTTGAATGCCTTTTGAATAAAGCTAAGGATTCTCGGGAAAATTCGTTTTCTATTTTGTATTTCCTTTTCTGGCATTGATATTCACCAGGCTGCAAATGTCTGACCATTTTTTGAAAGTATGAAGATACAAAGAAAAGACAAGAACAATAAAGGTGATTGGGACAACATATGTACATTTCCATTGCATGGACAATATTTTAAAGCTTTATGAGTTTTTACACAAATAAGAATAAAAGAAAAAAAAAAGGTATTTTAAAGATAAATCATCAATTTTAAAAATATTTTGTCACGTATACTCATATACTCATACCCACTAGGGGTGTTCACGGTCCGAATTGGTCCGATTTTAGCCCAAATCATGACCAAACTAGACTTAACCGTTAATTTTTTTCTTGTCCATAACCGGTTTTATTTTTTAACCGACCACAATCCGGACCGCATTGGACGGTCCGGTTTGGCGGTTAACCGGTTAAATCAAAAATCCTTGTTTTGGGCCTTCAATTTTTATTTTTTTTTATTTTGGGCTTAATTTTTATTTTTCAATTTTGGGCCCAAAAGAGATTATTTGGGCCTAAAAATTAAGAAAAATAACAATAATGAAATAGAAAATACGCAATTCGTCTCATAAGCATAAAAATACATATTTCGTCCCATAAACATAAAAATACAAAAATGATGACGATTAAATTATACAAATTGAACCCAAGCAAGCATTCATTTTTCAGTCAGTTTATGCACCTGAAATAATAAGAGCAAAGCATTCATAGTGAATGTATTGTATTTGTCGGTCATAGTGAATGACTGAACGTATATATATATTTGTTATACTTTTTTAATATTTACTGGTCCGGTCCGGTTAAACCGGAGGTTTGCCGCAGGTAATCCGTTAACCAGACCGGTTATTCCGGATTTTTAAAAAAAAATTAATCACCGAAATTTTTAAGGCTTTTTTTAATTAACCATTTAACCGATCCGCGATCCGGATTGACGGTTTTTTCGGTTAAAACCGGACCGTGAACACCCCTAATACCCACTGCAGACACTTTATTTGTGCTCATGAGTGTTTTCTCACATCACACACACTTTAGACATATGAGCTTACTCATTCTTTCTCTGATCCCGTGGTTCATTTGGACAAAGAAGTATATTGCAAAGCATAGGGATATTACTTTTATGTACCCTCACATTGTTTTGCAGGTTGATTGACATCACTCCTTCCTCATAGCTCTGAGCAGACTTACGCGTAGAAACTGGACAGGCTGCACGCTGCCTCCTGTTTCGTGTCGTCTGTCCAACATCCACGCCACATAGTCGTTGTTTGGCTGAGACCCGACTCCCCTTGGGTTAAGCTAAACACCGACAGATCTTTCGACCAACTCACCGGAGTAGTCGGAGGTGGAGCCTGATTAGGGATCACAACGGAGCTCTTATTATCGCCTTCCATGCCCCTTTTCAGGCTTCCTCGAGCTACGACGTGAAGGTTCAGGCGCTCTAGATCGTCTTCAGATTGTAGCCTCTATCGCTACTAACATTTGGATTGAGCTAGATGATGTCGATGTCGTGCGCATCAGATCTACATTTCAATCGGTTTGCTATCGGATATCGCATATCTTCCATGAGGGAAACCAACCCAACGACTTCCTGGCCAGCCTCGGCGCCTCCACTCCCCAGAAACGCACTTTCCACCTAAACGATACCCCTCTATGCCTTCGTACTTTTGTGCGGATGGACAAGATTGGCTACCCTTCTTTCAGAGTCTAGGTAGCCTCTTTCTATTTTTTGTGTTTTGGCCCATTTTGTGGTGCAGTCTGTTCGTCTGGGCACTTGTCAGTTCGGGTTTAG